GGCGCTGCTGGCTCCACAACGGCTACCTCCGTTCAACCCTCTCCCACTGTCGCAGACCCCCTTTCACACACCCCCCTATGCACCCCTAGCTCCACTCCCACGGCACCCCCCTAGCGACGCCCGCTCGGCTCCCACACACCACCCCCCTCAGCGGCAGCTGTAGCAGTGGGAGACGGAGGAGGAGGAGGGTTAGGGGACGGCTCACACTCCCACCACCCCCATACCTGCCACCCCCATACCCCAAACGCAGGTGGCGCGCGCGCGGCGCGAGGGAGATACACGGGCAGCAGCTGGGGCGGCGTGCGAGCGGAAGCGGGGCAGCGCACGGGTCCCTGCGGCGCTTTGACGGGCGATGGGCAGGGCGGCGCGCGGCCCCCCAGGGCTCCGCGACGGGCGACGGGATGGGGGGCGACACGGGGGCCCCCAGGGCGCCGCGACGGGCGACGGGCAGGGCGGCGCGCGGGCCCCCGGGGCGCCGCGACGGGCGACGGTGTTAACGGAAGTGGAGTGTTTGGCCCTGCGCTCGCTTGGGCAACGCCGACGACTTGGTCGGATGTATGAGAGTTGCAGCCGACCGTTCACAGTGGGAGAGCTGCTCGACAGGCTTCGTCGAGCTGCAGGGGACCGCTGTGGTGTTGCTGTCGACCAGGGAGTTTGACAGCTGCAACTAAATGGTCTGGGCGACGGGTGGGCCGTCGACCAGGAGGGGCAGTTCGACCGGGAGGTTGACGGAACTGCCGGTCGACCTACAATTCGACCGGGAGGTCGATGGAGCTGCCGGTCGACCTACGGTTCGATTGGGAGGTCGACGGAGCTGCCGGTCGACCTACGGTTTGACTGGGAGGTCGACGGAGCTATCGGTCGACCTAAAGCTCGACCGGGGAGGTCGACGGAGCAGCCGTCGACCTGACAAGTGAGCAGCGGTCGACAAGGGGAGCTCGGCAACATCAGCTGACTGTTCTGGTCGACGGAAGGGGTCCGTCGACCAGGGAGGTGCTCGACGGGAGCTATGGTCAACCGGGGCACCTGGTGGTCGACCAGAGGGGGCTCTGGTCGACCAGAGGCACCTGGTGGTCGACCGGAGGCACTGGTGGTCGACCAGAGGCGCCTGGTGGTGTCCAGGTCGATCGGGTAACCTGCTCGACGGGTTCTGCGGAGCACGCAAACGTTGTCGAGGTCGCGATGACGAAGGCGACTTCGGGTTGGTATCCCGAAGTCGATGTGGCTCGTCAGGCGCAGACAACAGCCGACGGATGCACATCAATGCACCAGTCGGGCCAATCGTCTGCTCGCACCAGCGAGCGTGCGCACTTCTGTCTTCTACGGGGCAACGATGGATAGCCGCATGCTGCAGCGTTGGCACGCTGTCGACCTGCCCTGCTGGCAGGTCGAGGGGATCGTCCCGTACTCTACGCAACGCTGGCATGCAGTCGACCATGCAGTGCTGGCGGTCGACCAGGCTAGCTGCAGAGTTGCTAGGTGCCTAATGTAGTCATTCTGTCATTTCTTGTTCAATCATATTCTATAATTCCAACTTTCCTAGTGGAAACTCTTGTCAATCTTTCCCGTGAATGCGCAAGTGCTAAGGAACCAAGCAAAGCTACGATCACTCCTAGTAGTTTGTGCCAACCATGTAGTCTAGCTCACTACCGTTGTAGAGTGAATCTCCGTAGACGGGAGGGGGGCCGCGCGCGGGCCCCTGCTACGGCGCGACGGGCGACGGGAGGGGACAGCGCGCGGGCCCCCGGGGCGCCGCGACGGGCTACGAAACCGCCGCGCGTGCCCGGGGCGTGCGGCGGGAAGAAAACCGCCACGCGCCTCGAGGGCGTGGCGGGCAAAAAGCGGGCGCGCCGCGGGCACGCCATGCGCGCAGGGGGCGCGGCAGGCAGAAGACGTCTAGGACAGCAGCGGAAGCAGGTGGGCCCACAGGCCAGGAGCGATCTCGCTCTGTTAGCATGTTAAGAATAGTAGCTAGTACGTAGTAGCCATAGTTAGGGTTTTGGGTACTAGCATAAGAGAAGAACAGCAGAAAAAGGACCTGGTTGCACTAGCAGCAGATAGGATACATATAGCAAACCCTAATTTGGGCTGTACTCACTATAGAGTACCCCACTGCAGACTAGACAATTATTGCATTCTGACAGATGTGCCCCTACTTCCTCTTGTTATGGCGATTGAGTGCGTCATGGTTCGATGCACAGGGGTAGGTGATCGATTTCGCCTCGTGGCTGCTCGACGTCAAGCTCCACCCGTGGAGCCAACTCCAGGGTGACGTTCCCTTGTAAGCCCACCCTTTTGGTCTTGCCCCCGAGCATCCTTCTGATCCTGTTGCCGATGCCGGACTAGCGCTCACATTGTGGCAGGCCCATGACGCAGATTCATGCCTTACAATCAATCGATTGTTTCTGCCAACAGCGAGAGTGCATTTTTGCTAGGTGGAGACAGCGAATAAGTGTTTTGACGCTATCATTGCTCGCTACTCCACACCCTAATCTGCTACCCTATGACGCCTCATTATGCCTTTCCACTTCTCCAATGTCCCTTCGTTCTCCATGTGGAGAGTCACCCTACAACTGAAGTGGAGCACGTGGGAGGTCACGGGCTGTACGGGGTGATATATTGCTTACGTTCTCATTGCTTGCATAGGTAAATTTGGCAAGAGTTTCACTAGAAAACAAACAACAAAACACATAATGCCAAAATAAGTTGATATACCTGAAACACAATGCAACACTTTCGAGCAACCTAGCAAGTCGGATTCCAGGGCTATTAAGAACATAAGAAGCACGAATGAAGTTGACTAGCAAGAAATTGGGTACAGGTACAAACCCTAAAATGTGTGTACCTCGTATTGTGTGCCCCACTAAAGCCTAACAACCATATATATAGTTTGACACACCCCCATAAGCTAAGAGGGGGACAACAAGAAGGTCACAAGACCAGCCATGGGAAGAAACGAAGGAAAGTTCAAGGTGGATCTCGAGATTACCACACAGCCCGAGCACAAGCAAGCGGCCAAAAAGCCACTATACGTGCAAAGTTATAATAACAAGAGGAGTACAATGATCACAACCTAGCAGGTGTATAACATGCAGGTATAAATATAAAAAAATGGGAAGTCAAGAGACAAGGGAAGTGAGGAAGAGTAGGCACGAGGCCTAGAGTAGTGCAAAAACACTGATGATCACTAGAACCAAGGGCCTTGGTGAAGATATTAGGGCGTGTGTGAATCTAATTGCAGTTTGAAAATGGGATCGAACTTTGACTAGTAACCAATTTCGTGCATTTTCGCGAATGCTTTCGTCGATGCCGTGTTCAAAGTGAAATCCTCCAAACTCGAACCTCGATAAGTGAGCAAGATTCGAGTATATGAGCAAACGTGATTTTGCACGTTGTAGTGAACGTGTGTCGTTTCACGCACGTACGAGGAGTGTGCGACACTCGCTACGCATTCGTGCACCAATAGAGGCACGACCGAAACCTCTAGCACACCCCCTCAAGCAAAGCCCGCCACGTGGATGTTGTCGTGGCACGATGACATGCCGCTTCTGCGTTTGATCAGACGTTGGCGCTCTGGCTGCGAAAGTCGCGCCAAGGCTGTTCACACCACAGCAGCCACCAAAATGTCGCCACTCACATACAATACAAGTGACAGTCAACATTCGTCCTACCCCGTCTAGCTTGCATATTCACGATGTCAACCTCCCGAGGTGATGCACACGAAAACACCGCACCTACCGCTGCTCCCGTTTCAGTCACCACCACGCCGCGCCGTCGTCGTGCGACAGTAGATAATACCACGGCTTGCCGCCTAGATGTTATTGATCTCGACCAAGTGATTGCGCATGTCCCCTCTCACAACACCCCGCTTAACGGCGATGACGACACGATGGCGTACTTTGACGCGGATGAAGTAGACTGCGACGTAGACGACACAGCCGACGAAGACACCGACCCCGCCATGGCGCCCACCGGGGCGTGCTGGGAGCCGCACGAGGTTATGCAACTGGCGTGGATTTGCCACGACAACGACGAGTAGTGGCGCAGCCAGAACCGCTTCCAAGGCCAAAGCCGAGACGTGATTCTCTTTGAAAAGCTCAAGGCTCGCCACCCGGACTTCCGTCACGGTTTTGCTGCGGTGAAGGCGAAGGTCTTCCGTATGGAGGCATAGTACAGGCGCGTGGGGGACCTCCTCCTAAATTTGTCGGGCAAGGGTCGCCCTCCGAAGATGCCCATTTTTTGGGATATCTTTGACCGTATCCTAGGCGACCGTGCTAATGCACGTCCGCCCGCGCTTGCCGGTAGTCTGCCTGGTGCGAATGTGGTGAACCTGCCGCCAACAACCACGACTGCTAGTAAGTTGTTTGTCACGGTGATTCTTGTGCTCTGTGATACATTTGTCACGGTGATTGGCGTAAAGCTTTAGCTGCTTAATGCGTCAAAGTACACAGCTTGTTACATTACGCCGGTTTTCGCCGATCCCCCCCCCCCCCCCCCCCCCCCCATCCCCTTCCTACGCGTCATGCCAGACCGTACCCTGCCTACCCCAAGCGTGCCCCAGACGGGCGTGCAAGACGCAGCCTCGGCTTTGCCTGGCCGTGCGAGGGCAGTGCAGCGCCGCCGCGACAGCCAGCGCACTGCATCCTGGCCGAGTGGGTCGCCCTCGAACATGCCTCTGCCGCCCGCTTCGCTGACGACGGATGACGAGCCCACTGATGCCGCCACGACTGCAAACCCCGTCCGCTCACATATCCTCGGTGCGCGCACGGGAGCTTCGCTTCGCGGGCGTGGCCTCAACCGTCGACCGGGGCCTGCGACTGGTGGTGAAGTTAACACGGGGGGGGGGGGGGGGGGGGGGGGGGGCAGGGGGGGGGGGGGGGACGCGGGTGAAGTAGCATTAGGAAGTTTTATGAGTGCGAGTGATGCCACACTGTGCAAGGAAATTGCGGGTATAATAGCTCACTCGGTGAAAGGTGCCATGCAGGAACAGTTTGATGCATTCATGGATCATACCCAAGAGTTGGTTGAGCAAGCTCGGGATGACCGAGCCTCCAAGAGGCATAGAGACACGCCGCCATCCGAGCGCGACGACGAGTCGGCGTGAAGCCTTCGTCGCGCGGCGAAAAGTGCGGCAGTTTGGCCGCGGGGCCGTGCTGCCACCATGTGTTGTGCTCTCGCGGAGGGATAAGCCGAGGACGAGGGCCGAGAAGCAGGTCGATGTTGTGCAGGACGATGCAGGCGGAGACGTACTGGGGGGCGCGGAAGATGTCGCACTCCAATCGCCCGTCCAAGATCCGCCACCGCATCTTCAGCCGACCATTAACCTGCTCCACGATCATCCTGGCGCGGGATTGCTGCAGGTTCCACACGCGCTGTTCGTCCGGCAGTGTGCGACAGAGCAGCGCCCGGTAAGGCATGTGTATGTAGTTGCGCAGACCGTAGGCCGCATCCGAGACTATGGCGTAGTCGTAGATCCCACCTAGTTCGATCTTGTGTCGCGCCGGGCTGTGCTGGAAAACGCGAGCGTCGTTGACGCTCCCGGGCCATCCGACGTAGAAGTCATAAATGCAGCTGGCGCAGTCACAGATGAGTTGTGCAATAATACTGAAAAGTCCCTTTCTGTTTCTGAAATCCTCGCAATGTGGGCCTTGTCCCTGGCACCCACCACTCCCGGAATGCCCGCCTCATTACGGAACTCACGCTCGAACACTTGACACATTTCAAGGTCGGGCCAGATGACCCACTTCTCAAGTAGGACCCTGTTGACAAAGTGAAGAAATTCGGTGAAGAGTTGACGGGCATGGGAGTAGGAATACCCAAAGTGCAGACCGATCTGGCGAAAGGAAAGGCCATGTCCAAGTCGGCTCAGTCCCAAGGCGATAAACACGAAGTTGAACACGAGAGGCTTGCGGTTTGAGGGGTAGCTCCGCTGGTACTGACGCACGAGGTAGTCAAACACCCGTCGATCCACGCGCATGTACTCGTAAAAATTAGACTCGGGCAGCAGGGTAATCAGCTTGAACCATCTGATTCGGGCATCTTGGCGATCACCACGGACAAACACACGAGTCTGACGCAGAGTGAACGCAGCGACAAGGGCTGGGATTGCAGCGCCAATTGCGGTGAGGGCAGGTAGCTGGAAACATTGGTGGAAACCTTGGAGGACAATTCCAAGAAAGCGCACCAGCGCAATGAGAGACATTGTGGAATGCTGAGTTGGCGAATGGCATGACAATCGCACCTTTGCATCTAGTTGGACAGTCTGGAATAAGATGAGGAGATGGGTTGGAAGTCTAGAGTGCACTTTTGGCGCACGCGATTCGTTGACGTGTCGCGCTGTCAAGATGCCGATACTGGGTAACCTACGCACCCTAGTGGCGGTTCGGTTCCCCCCCTACAGGCTCGAACTTGCAGATTCGCACCTGCGCGTGTGATTGTGAGTTTACAACTTTTGGCACCGGCGGTTCGAACGTTGCCAACACTCAAAATCGAGTCAGGCTCGCTTAGTGTTCACATTCTACAATCGAATAAAAAACATAAACCTAAGTAAAAACTAGAATCACACACGCCCTTAGTAATGTTGGCCTTTGAGGGCACGAAAGCAAGGCGAAGCTGACCACGTTGCTGTAACTATCTTGAGAAAAAAGAAAAGAAAAGCAATGTGCTTTGTTCTGTGCTCCATTCCCTGTCGACGTGAAATGGCCCCTTGGGCGAAGGAGACATCGCAGTAGGGGGCGCGTAGAAGGCGACCTCGACCTGTCCGTAGAGTTCGTCCTCGACCAGTCCGCAGAAGTCGACGGCAGAGGACGGGCTCGTATAGGGCGCCGGTCGAGGGGTTCGCAGAGGACGCGGTCAACGAGCTCGCAGAGGACGAGTCCGTCGAGGAGCTCGGTTCGACGTGACCCGTTCGGTGTAGGAGCTCCTCTACAAGGCCGGTATAGGAGCTCCTCGACGAGGCTGGCAGAGGGCTCGTCTAGGCGAAAGCTGCTCGACGGAGCATCCATCGAGTCGAGCAACGCTGCGGAAGTCGCGCGACTGCGAAATTCGTCATGTGGGCGAATGTCGCCTAGGAGGTTTTTGCGAAGTCAACCTGCGGAACGACATCACGTGCTCGACGGTGCATCGCTGGCGAAACCGTCGGCACGTGTTCTACCTGACACCTGCGCAATGTGCCTGGCGGCGCGTCCGTCTACCTGCATCTACTTGGTAGGTGAACACCTGCGCAGAAGTTCACCTGCCTCTGCGGCGCTGGCAGACCGCTGCTATACCGCGCTGGCAACCGCAGCTATACCGCGCTGGCAAACTGGTCTGCTGCAGCGTTGGCAAGCCGCTCTTCTTCTGCGCTGGCATAGTTCGCCTTGCAGAGGGCTTGCTAGGTGCTGGAATGCCATTCTAGCTATATCGACTTGCATGCCTCATTGTAATCTAATTTTTCTTTCAATTTCTTAGTGGAATTCTTGCCATATCTCTCTATGAACATAGCAAGTAGTGAGAACGACTAGCGCAACACTACGATCACCCACACAACCCCGTGCCTTCCTCCGTAGTCTACTCCCATTGTGCAGTGACTCTCCGCATTCGCTGCTGCCGACACCAGACAATCATGGCCTTGTTGTCGACGTACATGACCGGAGGAGAACGAGGCCGCTCACCCAAGTCGGTCAGCAAGTAGGTCAGCAAGTAACTCCTACCCCAGTGTAGATCTCGGCCTCACAGCTGGAGCTAACCAAAGAAGACGAGCGTCTGGACCTCCATGAGACAGAACTAGTGCCTAAACTGAAACTGTAACTCTGTGACGACCATTGAGTTGCCTGGTTGTCATCCCAAGAAGCGTCTAAGTGCCTTGTAAGCACAACTAGGCCCTGTCCGACTAGGCCCTGTCCCGCAAGCGTAAGCTCCATGCTTGATTAACTGGCCAAGTAGCGCAGCACCCTCTTAGCAACCCGCTAGTGCTCAAGGCGGTGTCCCCGTGTACCGTGCAAGGATAGTGGGAGGGTACGCGAGGTCAGTCGAGTGTAAGTCACCAGGTATATGCAGCACCCACAAGCTCTGTATACGAACCACTCAGCTCTACAGACTCGTCTCAAGGTGGAGCTTAGAGTGAGTGACTCGTAGGCAGAGGAGTGGGCTGTGGCGAGGAAAACTGAGAGCCGAAGTGTTGAATGACCTACTGCCCCATGTGTGACCAAGTGAGAGTGACGGTGCGCTGTGCCCAGTCCTAGGTGATCTACAAGCCTAGATAGTTCCACAGCTCACCTAAGTTAGTGCAAATATGTCTCTTTTGCAAGTCCACCTTCAAGGGCCAGTGCCTCAGTGTCAGCAGTAGCAAAGGCCAAGTCGTCGACGTACATGGGGATGTAGAACAGCTGAATAGAAGGGTCGGTGCGCAGAAACAACGATAGGTCAGCACGAGTTGCACGTATCGTCATTGGTGTGTGGTGCCACTCTTGGGGTTCTTGGTGGAGACTGTAGATTGGCCGTACTGGGTACCCTTAAGAAACGATTAGTGAAGCCAACTGGGCGGTGTAGCAGATCTCTTCGTGGAGGCTGCCTTGCAAGAAAGCTGTCGCGAAGTCAAGGGAGTGCAGCTCGTAGTCACGTTGTGCTGCAACGTGCAAGGAAACCCAAAGAATGGTCATCTTTGTTGTGGGTGAGAAGGTCTGGGAGAAGTCGACCCCTTGACGCTGACTGAAGCCTTGTGCAATGTAACGCGCCTTGAGGATAGGCGAAGAACACAGCGGCCACTTCACCCTGAAAATCCACATGCCATCGACTATGTTCGCCCTAGGAGGAGGAACTTCGTTGACTCAGGTGCGCGGACTTTTTTGGATGCCATCTCTAAGTCCATGGCTGTCTGTCACTGAGAGAAGTAAGGACTCGTGATCACCTCTGTGTAAGAGCGCAGGGTCAGTATGTTTAGTGCATCCAGGTTCCCCTCAAGGGCAAGCAGCATGGTAGCGAGATGAGGTACAGTAGCCACAAGGCACTCCGGCTCAAGGATGTCACAACCCAGGGCAAGCTCGCCCTCGACGGACGGAGGATAGTAAGAAGCAGAGTTAGAAACAAGTCTTGCAAGGTAGTTACAGCAACACATAGCAGCGAAGTCAACAAGCTCAGTCACCAAGACAAACGCAGCAGCAGACTCAAAGGTAAGGTCAATGACAAGTGTAGCTAGACCGCGAGTGACAGTTGGATGAGGAGCACAAACAAGGTCAGACACAGAGTAAAAAAAGTCAAGAAAAGAGGACGCTTGAGGAGACGGCAGGATAAGACGCTATGAAACAAAGGAAGGACGAAGTGCCACGGTGTGAGTGCTAAGGACAGGTTGAGGACAAACACGACGAGCGCAATGAGTACGAGCAAAAGGCGAAGCACGATGAGACGTAGGCTCTCGACACTCAATCAGGAAGTTTGTCAACTCAGTATAACAAGAAGGAACAAGCAGTGGGGAGTCAAGCAGTGACTGTGTCTTACATATGACAGTAGGAGGGACCAGTAGAGGAGTAGTACCAGTGGTAGACGGGTCTCTGGAGACAAATGAAAGACAGAGAACCTGATGAAGTGCTGAGCAACGTGGTGAAAAGGACGACTTCGGCTACTCCCAGAACAACGGTCGCCGCTCGTGGCTGCGCAGTACCTTCAGCACCAGAACCATCAGCACACCCAACTGCAGTACCTCCAGCACCACATTCTCTAGTACCTCCAGCTCTAGTACCCAGTAGCACACGAACCTCCAGCATCTCCAGCGGCAGTTCCTCAAGAGCTAGAACATCCAATATCCCCAGCTCTAGCACCACTAGAACTTCCAAAAATGAACACATGAAGTGGCAGCGACGACTGCAGTTGCTCCCATAACAAGGGGCGCCGCGGCGGAGGCTGCAGCGCACTCGCAGATCCTCCGCAGAAGCACCCTCGACTCCACCACCACTTGGACGCTTAGCATTCCCAGAACCAGCACCCCCTGGAACAGTACCCCCAAAACCAGCACCCCTAGAGTCGGCACTTCCAGAGTCAGCACCCCTAGAGCCAGCACATCCAGCATCACCACACCCAGCAGCACTAGAGTTCAGAGCAACAAGTTGCAGAGGCGGCGAAGATGGCCGAGGCGGAAAAGTCAGGGATTCTCCAAGCGCAGTAAGTGGCGAAATTCAGCCGTGTCGTCAGCAGCAATATTACCCCCCTCAACTGGGCCAGAGGTGTCCGAGGAGACCACCAAAGGGCTCAACCATGGTGTAACCTGCAACATAGCTGAAGGAGAAGGACGCGAGGGGGGGGAGGTGGTCTTCCTGGGGGTAACATAAAATCAGAAAGAGGGGTGGGCGGGGGGCCATCGATAAACAGTGGTGGGGAAAGAGATGGTAGTAGCAAACCGGCTCATCAAAGTGACGTCGCGGGAGGACAGGAGGAGGCTCGTTGCTGGATGGTTGAATTGCTAGTCAGGCGCGTTGTCAGGAAATCCAAGGAAGAGGCGACGAAGATTGTGAGGAAAGCTTGTCCGCGGTAGCATCGCGGACAAGGGCAAGCAAACATTAGACCCAAAATGTTGACGCATCACCAACCTCCCCCGTCCAACGCATGGTAGGCAAGTTCTCTGGATGGGAGACATGTGGCCAGATGCTAAGCTGATGAGCGGCGTATCGGAACGCAAACGGCCACAGAAAATGAGAAGTGGGGAGCCATATGGATCATGGAGGTGCGAGCAACCTCTATATTCAAGCCAATGCGGTGCTCAAAGATTCCATTCTGCTGTGGAGAGGTAGGAGGCATGAACGATTTAGTGATGCCCTCCTCACGACAAAATTTTGCAAGAAGACCGGAGCAAAACTTTTCACCATGATCAGAGTGTAGACAGCGCACCAGGAGGTCCTAGTGGAACCGTGCACTTAGTTGGCAATGAACAGTGTTGATCCAAGGGATCAAAACAACATGAACGTTTCCCTTATGCTATAAGGGAAACAATGTGGGATAGCGCGTGCAGTCATCGACCAGCAGGAAATAGCGCTCCCGGTGCGGCCTATGGACGAGGACAGGGCCCCATACGTCCATGTGCAGTGTCTGCAGAAGAGTATCAGTTGGAGGCAACGAGGAGGAGTGAGGAGCGGCGTGCTGCCGCCCCTCGATGAAGGGAGTGTACAACGGCGCAAGCCACGACGGGGGCGGGGGCAGGGACCGCCGAGGGCCAGAGATAAGGAGACGCGAGTG